CTGGCACCGCATTCCTCGCAATGGCGGTGCTGGAGATCTGCTCAGGACCATCTCCCACACGATGGCGAAGCACAGATCTGGTAGCTTCTCTTGTAGCGCGACTGGCTCTTGGCGGAGCGGCGATCTCGACCCTCGCGCTCCCTTCGGTTTGCATGCCCACCGCCCTGCGCGCCCTGCGCCATGCTGCCTGCGCGGAGAGGCAGAGACGCACGAGGAGGCGGAGGCGATGGCGGCGGTGGCCCCTCTGGGCGGCTTAAATCGTGGCGCCAAAATCTGGCCGGGGCAGCCGAACCCATGGAAAGGGCTGCCATTCCGCCTCGACCTCGGGCCTCGGGAGTTGGGGCGGGGAGGGGCCCCCGTCTTGAGCCAGAATGGCAACGGGAGAGGAGGAGGAGAAGGAGGAGGAGGAGGAGGAGGAGGAGGAGAGGGAGGAGGAGGGGGAGGGGGAGGAGGAGGAAGAGTTCGTAGCCATTTTGACTCAAGCGTTCTCCTCCCATTTTGGCTCACACTGGCAGGCCCCCGATGTGCGACGCGCTTTCTGGGACGTTGATTTTTAAGCTGCGGAGTGGATTCTTAGCGGCAGTGCGCACCCTCGTGGAACGCGATGCCCGGGCGATGGCAGGACAGCTCTGGCATAGTTGAAGAGACAACGCACAGTTGACCTCACACTCAAAGCCATATCACTCCTTCGTCGAGACAGCGACCCGCCTCGTAAGCGCAGTCAAGGCGGCTCGTTCGCGGGAGGTTGGCACGCGAATCGCTGGACACGTGGAACGGTGCTAATAAGCACAATCTCGGCGAGGTGTTTAAAAAAGGCCCGAGGTGGAGGATTGCACCCTGAAGCAGTGGCGAAGGCACGCCAGGCAAAGGTTGCGTCAGACAAGACTCGGCGTCAACCCACCATGCAGACGATGAACGCCATCAGCTACAATGCTGCGGCTGCGAGAGTGGGCGGCAATGGCAGCAGGGATTGGCAGTTGGCAAACTCACCAGCACCATCTGTTACAGTGCTGGGGCAGGCGCGTGCGAGAAAAGGGCAGCAATGGCAACAGAAAGTGGGAGAAATCCCCACCAACGCCATCATCCTCAACCCTGGAAGCAGAACGTGCGTGAACGGGCAGCAGTGGCAGCAGGCTTCGTACGAGAAGGCGTCATCAACTACAGTGCGAGAAGCAACCAAGCGTCATCAGCTAGAGCGCGAGAGGCAGTCAGAAGTGGAGGCCTCGGTGCAGCCAGACGTCATCGACTACCAGCCACAGAGCCAAAAGCAGCCAGGCGTCATCAGCTGCAGCGCGAGCAGCAGTCAGAAGTGGAGGCCTCAATGAAACCAGGCGTCATCAGCTACAACACTGGAGGCAGTTCGTGCGAGAACGAACGGCAGTGGCAGCAGGCTTCGTGCGAGAAGGTGTCGCCAACGACAAACGAGAAGCAACCAGACGTCATCAGCTTGAGCGAAAAAAGGCAAGCAGACGTTGAGGCCTCGATGCGGCCAGACGTCATCAGCTACAATACTGGGGCCAGCTCGTGCGAGAACCGACGGCAGTGGCAGCAGGCTGCGTGCGAGGGCGCCGTCAGCCACCGTGCAAGAAGCAGCTGGGCGTCATCACCTACAGCGCGAAAAGTAGCCAGTAGTGGCCTCGACACAGCCAGGCGTCATCAGCTAAAGCACTGGGAAGCAATCAAAAGTGGAGGCCTCAATGCAGCCAGACGTCGTCAGCTACAGTACTAGGGCCTGCTCGTGCGAGAACGGACTGCAGTGGCAGCAGGCTATGTGCGAAAATGCGTCGTCAGCCATGAGGCGAGAAGCAGCCAGACGGCATCAGCCACAGAGCGAACAGCGGTCAGATGTGCAGGCCTGGACCCACCCAGCTGTCTTCAGCCACAGTACGGAGGCCAGCTCCTGCGAGAACGGACGGCATTGGCAGCGGGCTTCGTGCGAGGAGGCGTCGTTACCTACAGTGCGAGAAGCAGCCAACCGTCATCAGCCACAGTGCGATAAACAGCCAACAGTGGAGGCCTCCGATGAGTATGTTATTCTCGCCGATTCCATGGACGTCTTCCGTCTACAGTGTTTCAACCAGGCTCAACGTCTGAAATGCGAGGCCACTGTATCTTTCGAGGTGCTACTTCGCCATTGCTTTGCTCGTTGTCGGATTCATGGTGAGAGCCTTGACTTGCGCATCATTTTGCACAGCATGTTCCAGACCTTCGTTGACCAAGCCTCCACGCTCGGATTCGTGAAGCCCGTGCATCTGAGTGGCACCTGGACGATCACCGTCGCGTGGCGCTACCGAGGCCAGAAGTCCTCCAGGATGGCTCAGCAGGCGGCAGCGCCTGCGCGAGACCGACGAGGTGTGAGGGGAGGTCGGGCCCGGCGAAAGGGAGGGATAGCAAAGGGGGGGTTTGAGAACCAGCTCACGTAGCTGATTTTTTCCCAGCGCCTCCCGGCGCCGGAGGCGGCGCTGTATCGAGGGAATGGGCCCCTCGGTGGGGCCGAAACCGGCTGCATGCAACAGATCTCGTAAACCGCCCTTTCCCAATCCCCCCGTCTCGTCCGGCCCGGCCGGCGCCCTCGTCGCCCTACCGGGCTCGGCTCGTTGCGCGTCGGGCCCCTGCGGGACTCCCGCGGTGAGGCTCCTCGGCTCCTCGCCGCCTCGCACTACTTTTTCCCCTTTGGGAGTGGCAGCAACATGCAAGTGCCATCATCAGGGGAGAGAGAGAGAGAGAGAGAGGAGGAGGAGGAGGAGGAGGAGGAGGAGGAGGAGGAGGAGGAGGAGGAGGAGGAGGAGGAGGAGGAGGAGGAGGTGGAGGAGGAGGAGGAGGGAGGAGGGAGGAGGAGGAGGAGGAGGAGGAGGAGGAGGAGAAACCGGAGGAGGAAGAGGACGAAGAGGAGGAAACGGAGGAGGAGGAGGACGAGGAGGAGGAAACGGAGGAGGAGGAGGAGGACGAGGAGGAGGAGGAGGACGAGGAGGGCGAGAGGTCACCACCCGCATTCTGCGGGCCAATCACGTTTTTTTTTAAGCCAGCGCTTTCCTTGCGCGGTGGGGGGGAGGGCGCGGCGAGGCCCGAAAAGAAACTTGTGGACTCCACGCGCGCCAGGACTCACCTGCGCGCCTTTTCGGCCCCATGCCGTCTGGACAGACCGCGCGACCATTCTTTGACCATGTCGGGTAACGTTTGTCAGGTTGCCCTGGGGGGGCGGAGCAGGTCGGGGCGAGGGTGCGCTGCGATCGCAAGAACACGCGAGCGAGCACCAGCATGATACCAGCATGCTGGGGGGTGGAGGGGGGGGGCAGCCCCTCCCCACCCCCACGCACGATATGCTGACGCGCCAGAGGATCAAGCAACAAAAAGCGCGACCTCCGAAAGGGGGGGGGGGAGCACGCACTCCGAGCATACTGCTCTCTGCTGCTCGGCATCGGGGTGCCCAGCACGGCGGGCTCTGGCGCGGGCCGCTCCAGTTTCCCCGGGGTGCACCGAGCGCTCCCGCTCGGGGCGCACGGAACGTACGCTCGGCACCGTTGCGGGGAGGGGGCGGGGAGAGGCCCTGACCTTCCAGAGTGCTAGAAGAATAGGCCTCCGGACCTATAGACCGATCTGGCCTGCCTAGAACCTCGGCAGGAATTCAGATGTCGAAGTCCTGGTGCTGTTTTTTAGCCCTCCTGGAACGTCAAGGGGGGGAAGGGGGCAACCCGCCGTAATTACTGAACGCGACTATGTATATATAGCTATATATATATGTATGTATATATATATATATATACTGATGTCATTTGTTTTAAAGCGAGCCACCCTCAGGCGTGCCATTGCCAGGAGGGAGGGGAAGACGAGGACGAAGCACCCCCCGTCTTGAGCAGGGATCGGCCGTCGCGGCATTCCTATAGGCCTACCACGACATGATCTTAAGAACCTGACGAAGTTCGAACAAGAAAATCAATGTTCTTATACCATACGCCTGATGTGTTAAAACAAGACATTCTCAGCCAGGCATGTTCTAAGAACATTTCGTGCGGACCACAAAAGTCATTCGACCATTCTTTGGTGGGCCTATAAGCGGGCCGGGACGCTTCGCCACTGCTTAACGGGCATGATCTGCACAGCAGCCTGTTCTCGACGCGACGAGCGCCGTCTCGACCCCAGGGTCACGAGCCGCTGGGCGTCTGGAGAGCCGCCGGGTGCAATTTTGCCCCGAGGGGGCGTGGTCGGACTCTGCCCCAGAAGCGGGTGAGGAGGTCGATGGGGCAGGGGGAGCAGGAGGGGGAGCAGGGCCCTGGCCTTCAGAGACTGCTCAGAGCCTCGACTGGGAAGTTAGCCTCACGACCTCATTGCTCAGTTCCTGGTGTTGGGCTTTGGATGCAACTGGATGGTCCCAACGATTCGACGCCTTGCAGTTGTCCAATCAGGGGGGCTCCCGAACGTCCGGGCCCTTCCCCCGAGGCTGGCCTCTTGCCCCGAGTCGTCGCCTGACAGTCAAAGGGGCTCGGGGTGCCACGGGCCGAGAGCGGCAGCACTTCAGCCGGAGGCCTCGGAGAGCCGAACATCCGAGGCTCACAGCTGCATCCCCAGACCTCTCCGGAGGTGCGCGCTCGCTCCAATATACCAAGGCGCATCCGGCCGTGGCGGCGCGGGGGCCCGGGAAAAAAGGCGCGTCAGGGCTCCCGAGGTCGGGCGGGGATCGCCGCAGCCGCCCCCCCCCCCCGCAGCAGCAGCAGCGGCGCTGCGCTGAAGCGCGCCTGGCCGTCGCTCGGACGTCCATTTCCCGTGCATGTCTCGTTTTCGTGCGTGCTTTTTTTGTTGCTCGATGGCCCAGGATGGTCCTCGATGGTTCTCGCCGAGGAAAAATGCACACGTCCGAGCGATGCCAAGGCGCAGGCGGTGGCGGCAGCGACGGCAGGGGCAGCCGTGGCGGCAGCGAGCGGAGAACCTCGGCGCCTACCACGCAGGCAGCGGGGCCGCGCGCGCGCGGAGGGCCGCGCGCGCAGGGGGGGGGCGCGCATGACCTGCTGCAGCGGCTCCCGCGGGAGTCGGATCGGCTGCCTCGCGCGCGGGTGGGGTGCCCACCCCTCTCGCCATCGCTCGGACGTCCATTCCCTGTTTCTTTCAATTTCGTGCTTGGTTTTTTTGCCAAATTATCAAGGATGCTCCTCGATGGTCCTCGCCGAGGGAAAAATGCACATGTCCGAGCGATGCCCAGCCCTGGGCTGAGCCGAGATCGAGATCGCACACTGCCATAGCTGGCCTCGAAATTGGTCCTGCCCCTGAGGTCGACCAGCCAACAAGAAGGGTCGCTCGGGACACCCCGTCAGAAAACAGAAGATGCACCTCCAAGATCGACGCCGAACCACGGCGGTGTCGATCACGAGAATACAATCCAGACCACTCCGCGAACAACCCATCGCAAAAAAACAACAACCGTGAAACTTGCCGAAGACTTTTGGGCAATGGTTGGAGTTCGCTTGGCGGCGGCCAGCAAATAAGCTCAGTGTACCCTGGGCTAGGTGGTTTATTCAAGGCTCGCGCAAAGCATCTCAGCATCACGACAATCAAGGTGCCCCGCCAGCTGCGGATTCTTTGCGACCGCTGCAAGCCTCCAACGCGAACACAAACCAAAACAACCCGAAGTTACCCTCGCAAAACGTACCCGTCGGTCGGAAGAAGTAGGTGGAAGCATGAGGTAGGAAGGCGGATCAAGTAGGTTGGGTTCGGGCCCGCCCTCAAGAAGAGCAAAAAACAGCCAACACGGATCTGCTCTTGAAATAGGAAGGAGTTTGAAAAAAATTGGGATCTGGGGATCCCGGAATACCTACTTTCTTCACAGAGGCCTCCTAGATGGGGTCGGAACAGATGGGGTCGGAGGACCGCGCCGCATCGCCGATACATCGGCGACGCCAACGTTGAGAAACTTGTGCTCCACGTCGAGCCGCATCTCCGATGCATCGACGATACGGCGCGATCCTCCGATCCCATCTGCTCGGACCCCATCTGGGAGGACTAGGCAAATACTTGCTTTCAGCGACAGACGGGTGTGGTGTGTCTTGGCGTGGGCTCCCGCTGCAAGGAGATCCGCTTCGGGCTGGTAGCGTTACGTCGGGCCTGTCCCCCTACAGGGGGATTTTCGACGAAAAAAAAAAAAACTTCAAACATAATCAAGAAATAGTCCCAAAAATAGTCTGGAGAGTATTTTTGGAGCAAGCTTTGACTTTTGGGGGGTGTTTTTGTGGGGACACGCCCGACAGAATGGTAGCGTGCCACGGGCGACGGACGCCCCCCTTCGCGGCGCGACGGGAAGCACGGCGGAACGTCTTGCCGATGCTCGGCCTCCGGCCCCCGGGGGGGCCTCACCGGGCCTCGGGACCGTCGGGGAACGAGGCGGCACGAGACGACCGAGACGAAGCCAAGACGAGGTCCAGGCCGGGCGAGGATAAGTCGAGAGGCTCTGAGATCCGGCGGCTCCGGAGGGCGTCTCGGGCGCCGCGGCCTGCTCAGAACGTTCCGGAACGCTCTGAGAGCGTTCCCAAAGCTCTGGAAAGGGTGAAGGGCCCTGGGACACACAAGAAACAGGATTCCCCATATTTTCCAATATATTTCTGGGTTTTTATCTACCCCCCACTTCCCATATTTTCCCAGGGGAATCGACAATTAATTGAGTCTGTGTGTTTTTGTTCCCTCTTGAAAGAATCCGTCCTCCTCCTCGCTCTCTAGCCCCGTCCGGACGACGGCTCCCGCGGCCCAGGCCCGCGCAAGCCGGGCACCCGGGCGCGCTGTGCGCGGGGCGTCCGCGCGAAGCCTCCTCGTGTGAGGGGGGCCGGGGCCGGGGCCTCCTCGCCAAGCCGCGGCCTCGCTCGGCAGGTGGGTGGGCTGCGCGCGCCCTCGCTGCGCGCGGCCGCTGGCCGCTTTGCGCGTCGGCGCCCGTGGCCCGTTTACCCTCCCCCTCCCCTTCCTCCTCTCTCCCCCTGCCTCCGCCACTGGGCTTCGCACTGATGTCAGAAAAAAGTGTTTCGCTCTCGCTTTGCCTTTTTCGCTCTGCCTCGTTTCGCCTTCGCTTCTCGCCCCGAATGCAGCACAACACGAGAAACAGAGCGGCCCGCGAGATGGCCCAGACACCGGTTAGGTCCAGCCCTGTCGCTCGGCTTGGGCGGGGATGGCCAACTCCCCATGCGCCCCCTTCACCCGAGTTGCGCGAAACGTCAAGGCCAGAGCCGGTCCGCATCCGTTGCGCGGATCAAAGAAATATCCGCGCGGAGGGCCACACATGAATGTTTATGGCGTTTTTCCTCCTTCGATCAGTCACAGAAGTAAGGGCCGCTTACTGCAAGCACTGCTCGGGGAGCTCCGAGTCCGCGCCCCCGAGACTCCAACACGGCCGATGGCCTGATCCTGTGCAAGTAACGCTGGGCACGCGCTCCCGGGGACACGATACATACCCCTGGCAAAAGGACCAATGGACCCGCACTCAGATGCCCCGACTCCTCGGATAGCTTCTGGACAGATTCTGGCGTCTTCCGGGCGGGTGCTGATGGGGGGTGACCCCCCTGGGGGGTGAAGAGAAGGGACCTGAAGAGGCCCCTCTGGGGCCCCCTCTTGGGGCCAGCTGGTGCCCCAAAGGGGCCTCAAAAAAGGTCCCCTCTGGGGCCCTGTTTCTTCCCCCGCCACGCGGGCCACCTCCCATGACCGCCCGCCCGACAGATTCTGGCGTCTTCACCTTTTCGGACCCTTCGGGTTGCACCCGTTGGTGTCGGCGGCGGTTGAAGGGGCCCCAGGAGACACACACACACACATATAATAATAATACTACTAATAATAATAATAATACTAATAAGGATAATGACAACAATAATAATAATAATACTAATAATACTACTACTAATAATAATAGTAATAATAATATATACACAAATACACACATAAATTCACACATAAAACATACACACAAAAGAAAATCCATATATTTTCCCTTATTTTCTGGGCTTCTGCCTTCCCCCCCACTTCCCATATTTTCCCAGATTTTCTGGGGAATCGAAGATTCATGGTGTCTGTGTGTGTGTGTTTTTTCCCCTCCTGAGCTGTAGGGAGCCTCTGCTGCCCGCGGCCTCGCCAAGTCGGGGGGCCGGCCGGGAGCCGGGCCTCGCCGCCGGGTGGCCTCCCTGCACGAGGGCGCGGCACGCTCGCGTGCGGCGAGCACGGCCACATCCACGCCCTAAGAGTTCTGGCGCGCGGGGCGCGGGGGCGCGATCCCAATAATGTTTTTTTTAGTCAGCGGCCGCAGGCGAAGGCGCCGACGGCGTGTCCAGTCAGAGCGGGGCGCGCAAAGACGAATTAACCGAAAGCCAATGGGCCGAAGCCTCACGCGGCACCTCGGCGGCCAGGCCGGCGAGTGGAGGCAGGCTGCTGACGGCGGATCCCAAGGATACGCGATCGCATTGATGCGATCCTCGCGGGGCATCTGCACAGAGCCGCCCCGCATCCATGGGGCTGCGGCCAAGGAGCCCAGCCCGCAGGGCCGTTGGTGTGGATGATGTGTCTCTCGCCCATTGCACCCCAAATCGAACCAAACGGCGTCGGCAAGGGCGTGCGCCCTGTCCGGATGAAGCGGGGCCGAACCGAGAGCAAGTCCCCTGCAAGCAAGCTCGCATGCCTCCGTTGAATGGGGCTGGCTCAGGGCGGGAAAGCATCGAGCTGGAATCGGCGATACATCGCCGACTGATCGGCCATGAGCTCTCGATAGCGGCTCCGGACGCTCTTGGGGGCGGTGGGCTATCAGGCCCTTCTCGGCGAGGAATGAGCGATTGGGGGCCGCTGCGTCCCCCTCCTGTGCCCGTCCGCCCCTGATGCTGCCCCGAAGCGGGGGACCAGTGGGGGAACCGGCGCAAAGGTTAGGTCGGGCATGTCCTCCTACCAGCGGGTCTTGGACGACAAACGAAGTATCGATTCAAAAAACACTCGAAAAAAAAGCCAAGACGAGTCAAACAAAGGTTTTTTGTCTCTCTTTTGGTCTACTATTTTCGACTGTTCCTCCTGCAGAGGGACACGCCCTAACGCAAAGGGCTCAGTGGCGGCGGCGGGGGCACGCCGTACGTGTCCCGCACGAAGGATAGCTGCTCGACCTTGCGGCAGCCCCGCCGCGCGCACGGCAACGAGCGGGATTTTGGTTTTCCGCCGCGCCCCGCGCAGGCTGGAGGCACGCAGGCGGCTCGTCGAGCTCCGCTGGCCTGGCCCTCATCCTCCTCCTCCTCCTCCTCCTCCTCCTCCTCCTCCTTCCTCCTCCTCCTCCTCCTCCTCCTCCTCCTCCTCCTCCTCTCCTCCTCCTCCTCCTCCCCCTCCCCCTCCCCCTCCCCCTCCCCTCCCCCTCCCCCCCCCCTCCCCCTCCCACTCTCCTCTCCTCTCCTCTCCTCCTCCTCCTCCTCCTCCTCCTCCTCTCCTCCTCCCTCCCCCTCCCCGCCTCCTCCTCCTCCTCCCCCCCCTCCTCCTCCTCCTCCTCCTCCTCCTCCTCCTCCTCCTCCTCCTCCTCCTCCTCCTCCTCCTCGCTCCTCCTCCTCCTCCTCCTCCTCCTCTCCTCCTCCCCCTCCTCCTCCCTCTCCACCCTCCCCCTCCCCTCCCCTCCTCCTCCTCCTCCTCCTCCTTCCTCCTCCTCCTCCTCCTCCTCCTCCTCCTCCTCCTCCTCCTCCTCCTCCTCCTCCTCCTCCTCCCTCCTCCTACTCCCCCCCTCCCCTCCCCTCCTCCCCCTCCTCCTCCTCCTCCTCCCCCTTCCCCCCCTCCCCTCCTCCTCCTCCTCCTCCTCCTCCTCCTCCTCCTCCTCCTCCTCCTCCTCCTCCTCCTCCTCCTCCTCCTCCTCCTACTCCTCCCCCCTCCTCTCTCCTCTCTCCTCCTCCTCCTCCTCCTCCTCCTCCTCCTCCTCCTCCTCCTCCCTCCCTCCCCTGCTCCTCCTCCTCCTCCTCCTCCCATCCTCCTCCTCCTCCTCCTCCTCCTCCTCCTCCTTCTCCTCCTCCTCCCCCTCCGTTCCCCTCCACAATCACTCAATATGAATACTACTCTACTTCTTCTCCCGATGGCGGCTTGAAAAAAGCCGACCCCCCCGGTACTTTTTTTACACACAGGATTCCCAGGAGTTGGGTTTTCGCCTGCGTTTTTTTCAAAATGCTGCTCTCGCTGAGGCGCCGGCCTCATTTCTGCTCCCGAATCGTTCCGAATCGTGCTCCCGCTGCAGCGTGGGCCTCATCTTCGGATCGGTGTTTGGCCTCCGTCGTGCAGGATGGCGTTCTCGCCCCCGCGCGGGCCTCTTTCTCGCGCGCCCATCCGCCCGCCACCACCGCGCCGCACCACCACCACCACCACCAGCACCAGCACCAGCACCAGCACCAGCACCAGCACCAGCACCAGCACCAGCACCAGCACCAGCACCAGCAGCACCAGCACCAGCACCAGCACCAGCACCAGCACCAGCACCAGCACCAGCACCAGCACCAGCACCAGCACCAGCACCACCACAACCACGCACACACGCACGCACGCACGCACGCGCACCACCACCCACTACGCACGCGCGCGCGGAGCCACAGGTCCGCTACGACACGCGTCCGCGGATAGAGAAAATCAGCGCCATGGTAAGGGATGGGAGGGAGGGGTAGGACGTCAGATATGACGCGAGCGCACCTAGCTTGCCCTCCTTGCCTCCCCCTCCTCTCCTCCTCCTCCTCCCTCCTCCCTCCTCCTCCTCCTCCTCCTCCTCCTCCTCCTCCTCCTCCTCCTCCCTCCCCCTCCCCCTCCTCCTCCCCCTCCTCATCCTCCTCCTCCTCCTCCTCCTCTTCGACCTCCTCGTCTTCCTTCTGACCTGGGATCGCGTCATGGAACTATCACTGGACACCTGCGCGCACGTGTGCCAGTAGAGGAATTTCCAGACCCCCCGCGTCGAGAAAAAAACACGACGGCCGGCTCTGGATCTTCTTCTGCCCCCGGGGGCCCTCCACGGGCCCATAGTGACCGTCCAAGAACGACTCGTCATGAAAAACCGGCTCCTGGGACGCGGTCGAGATCTCCGGCGGTCGACGTTGTGAATAAAAACGGCACTGGTGCCCTGCGACAAACGCGAGAGCAGTCGAATGCCACCGTGCATGTGCAGCTGAACACGTCACAGTAAACCAGAGGGAGAGGAGCAGCAATCAAAGTGTCGATCACCGGCTCAACACTCAAATTGACCACATACGAGCATCCCGCGCGCCCTCTGTAGACACGTTCACCTGCTTTGGCCACCCATACTTCGCAATGCTCACCCTGCTACAAAGATCGCGCCCCCAGAGGAAAAAGACATAGGATTCGCCAGCCAGAGCGGCCAGAGATGTGCGCAAATCTCTGGCAGGAACTCCAGAGAGTATGTCTAGTTCGAACGAGCGGGGCGGCTCCTGGGGGTCCCAGGGCGACGAGTTCCTTGAGGAAGTCGGAAACTCTGGGCCAGAGACCGTCGTTTCCCAGCCATCCTGTGGTGTTGGGTCCTCGTTTTGAAGAGCCAACGCCCCGCGTTCATTCCTTCCTCCTCCCCCTCCTCCCTCCTCCCGTCCCTTCCGTTGCCGTCCGCGCCAGTCAATCCTTCCTTCCTTCCTTCCTCCGCTCCCTCCTCCCATCCCTGCCTCTCCTCTTCGCATCTCACCGCTCACACGTCTCGCGCCCAAAGACGATTGTTGTACCTCTGGGCGTGGCCTCGGGGCTCCCAAGGGGCTCCCAAGGGGCTCTCCGGCAGGAGACGCAGGGCGCTCCGGGAGTCAGCCCAAGAAAGGTGCCATTAGGTCGGTCCTGTCCCCCTACAGGGAAATTTTGGGCGACAAATGAAATATGCAAAGCAAAATTTCAAAAATGGCCAAATATAGTCAAAACATGGTCCTCAGACTATGTTTTGACTATCTTTTTATATCCGCCCTGCAGAGGGACAGGCCCGACTTAAAGGTGCCACGACGTTCCAGTTTCGCTCCAAGACGGCCGAAGGTGGCCTCGCAGAGGCTCCGTAGGGCTCGAGGACGGCGGAGCACTTCATCGAGATCTTCCAGAGGACCCTCCCTCGGGGCCTCAAAGTCGATAGACTTGGTGCCGATGCCAGCAGCCATGCTTTTTTTGCGAGCGAGGGAAGCCCTGGCGCCATGAACCTCTTCGTCCAACGGACTGCAGTCGAAATCGTATGCGGCGTCGTCCAGAGCTTCATCTGGATGATTCTCTGGCTCTGCGCGGAGCTGCTTGCGGTGCATTCGTTAGCCGCGCTTCAATCCCAACATTCGATCGTGCCCTTTCCTCACAGATTCATCAACAATCTCGTGCCAGCGTTCGCACCCGTGGTGATCATAGGATCATTGTTGCTTGATTGATTCGGGCAATTGAAAGGGCTCGTATCCACCAGCGGCTTGGACTGCACCCAAAAGTGGAATATAATTCACACTGGAGCGGCTCACGATGCACCCAAGAACTACTCAGAATGCACCCGAAAGCGGCCCAAATTGAGACCACGAACGGCCCAGAAGACACCCGAATGCGGCTCAGAACCTGGCCCGAGGCGTGTCATAACCCGGCCAGGCTCCTCTCATAGTATTATCAAAGCCTTGCAAAATCCATTCCGAAACGTCTCAAACATTAGCATCATCTACTCAGTAGCTCATCAGACTGGTATCTGGTTGTTTGTCCAAGTGGTTCCCCGAACCTGGTTACATCACTTCAAGGCTTTAAACAGATGCGCCACAGATGCATACGACCCTCTGTGAGAACTTCACAGGTTCAAGAACCAACCCAATTACCCACGCAGGTTCGAACTGGATGTCCTCCCCCCATCACGTTTCCCCCTCTTCTGAAGGAGAGGCAAACACTACTCAACGAAACTCAATACGGAAGAGCATCAACAAGGAATCAACTATACAAATTAGGTATTGCACATCTCCACTACCTCTCATTCTCCCTCCCACTCCCCCCTCCCATCTCAGATGGGTCTCGTACTTTGTTTGCCTTTTCCTACTCCATCCTCCCATCTCCATCCTCATCCCTCTTCTCTCCCGCCTCCTTCGTGTCTTTTCCTCCCCCATCCCATCCTCCACCCTCCGTCCTGCCACCAACCGCTCCTCCGTCGAACTCATATCCGCCACCGTGCCCAGGTCCGCAGGTCCCAGGTCCCAGGTGCAGTCCGCAGGTCCCGTCGAGTTCTCCGCATTGAATTCTGCACGTGTCCTTTTAAGGGCCCGCAGGCCAGAGTTTCGGGCGCTCCTGGGGGGGACCCCGCGTGACTTTTCGAGAATTCAAGATCGGCGGTGGACAAACCTCCCTTTAGTAAACCTCCCTTTAATGAAATCGGCCTGGGACCGAAACCGGCGGACCTGGACCCGCAAAAATGACGGCCGCGACGCCCTTTCGCGAACCGAAAACGGCCAATTCCTGAATCGACGTGTCAGGGTAGGAGGTCTGTCCACCCCCGACAAGCACGCGCTGTTCGGGCCGTGCATATCCAACATGGTGTCAGATAGCCACGGGGGCAATCCTGGAGCCCTCCTGGGCGCCTCTTGGGCCGTCCTGGAGGCCCTGGAAGGCGGCCCAGGAGGCCAGGATGTGCAAAATCCGTTGGTTCTTGCATTTGTTCTCGCGTTGCCGTTTTTTCTGTCTTCAGAGCGTCCAAGGACGGCCCAAGAGGCGCCCAAGGTCACCAAACAACGACCCAAGAGCCCCCTAGAGCCGAGGGGCCCCCGAGACGGCCCCAGAAGGAGCCCAGGGTGGGGAACACGAACCGACATTCCGAGCCCTCCGCCCCAAGATGGCCCCAAGATGCCCCCACAAGCCCCCGAGGGGCTCTCAATAGCACCAAGAGGCCCCCAAGAGGCCCCGAGAAGCCCAAATCAGGCCCAGGGAAGCCCAAATCAGGCCTCGAGACACCCCGGACACCCCAAAGACTGCTTGTAAGAGGCGTCGGAGAGGTCTCCCAAGAGATCCTCACAGGTATCCAGGAGGCCCCTGACCTACAACCCAGGCACGGTGGCGGGATGGGCCGAATGCTACTAGATCCGCCGCCCCCTGCTTGCAGGGGTGCACGGCGTGCTGGATGAGCTGTTAGGTTTTGGTTTTGGTTCTTTTTCTAAAAGAATCGAAG